ACACACACACACCACCACACCCACACAAATCCACGCACATACATACAATGAATTCATACAAAATTCATATACATCCAATATCAGATTACACAGATGTTTTCATATCTAGTCATAAAAACAGTCAAGAAAAACTCTTGCATGCAGCATTGGAATGTTGTGCAAAGGGAACACGAGTGAATAACACCATTTAACAAAAATTTCGACCAGATACAGTAGAATCAAACATTGAATTAAACTGCATCATACAGCTGTTTCGTCATTCTAGGGCTCGTCAGTGACGCTCAGAGCCTGAATGCTAAATCTTGGAGGTGACTGAGGAAAATGTTAAGTAATCAAAAGAAATGTAAAAATTTAGATTGGGTTATGCATTAGCCCCACAATTATGTAAATTTCGTAATTTCATATATGCAATAATCATTTTAGAAGAACGTCGAGTACATTTGTATATTACATAATACTAAGAGACACGGTGTGCATTTTTTTCTCATCATGACTTACTATTTGATAGCCTGAACATCTCCGCCATCTTGTTCCTCCTGTTCCTCTGTTTCTCACGAACAAAACTGCGATATTTTCACAAAGTGTGATGATGGCGAGATTTGCATTAGAGCAGAGAACATTTTACACAGTTTTGAAGTACTTTTAAACTCTTTTGGGATTAACAAAACACTCTCACATAAATGAATTTGATTCGAACAAAGTTATATATATGACGTCAGAACTGCTTTCTAAGTTCATGGAAATGCGTAATATGCTAAAATTAAAAAGGCACTTTTACAATATCAAAGACAAGATATGTGAATCACTGAGAATTTAAATACCTTTACATTCCAGCATTTTTAAATATTTAGGTTTGTTTTGTTCAGAAGACAGAAAACGACAACGACCATTTTAAATGTGTATACATAACAAGATGATTACAATCAGTCACCCATATGAAAAATAATGCTCTGTCCGCATGCACAGTGTGATCAAACATTAGTTTCTGTTGACGATTAATTTGTTACATTACACAATATTTAATTTTTAGCCGTAATGTCACGGTATGCAGATAACTTTATAACATCATAACCAGTATATTTGGCATGATCTAATAGATGGCACTGACATTTCTTTTATAAGTTAGAGAGCTTTTTAGGGGGGGGGGTACTATTTTTCATCAAAAACTATATTGGTATACATTGGTATACCTTTGGATACATGGAAGAACTATATAATGAAATACAGTCGATAACATGCCAAACATATTGAGGAATGGTGAAGACGAGACGAAACAATTAAAACATCAAAGCAATTATATTAATCTTCTGTAACTGTTGTCTGTTTGGTTTTGGAGTTATAGTACTGATATCATATATATAAGGTTGTCTCGATCACTTAGGAAAGAATGCTATTTGTTTTATATATAGATAAAATTTATCTTGGAATGTATATTATTTTGTCTGACAACAGGGCAATGCATCCAATACACTCCCATGTAATGTAGTTGTAAGATAGGCACTATTATTGCAACATCTCACAAAAATAGAGACGAATGTGCTAAAAGCCGATATGGTGAAAATTAATGGACTTTTCGTTTACACAACGAAAGTGGAGTCATTGCACAAAAGGAACTCATTTATTTAGATAATATCTTTGATAAAAATAAATTGGAAGTAAAAAAACTGCATGCAAGGTTTATATTCATTCGAATAGTGGCACGGTTCAGAATATATACCTGGACTTGACGTTGTTCTAAATTTCAGATCTATGGAAATTACGAAATTAAATGAATTATCGCACAAGTGCGCCTCCCCATCTAGAATTTTTTTATTCGTTTTGGTTACTTTGGATTTTTCGCAGTCACCTTCAGGCTTCACAATTTAGGCCCTAAGCATCATTGACAAATCCTATAGGGACGAAACAGCTGTATGACGTAGTTTAATTGTGTAGATCTACTGTATCACAATCTAAAGTTGTATAGAGAGGTGCTATTTACTAGTGTGCCTTTTATACAATCATCAATCAATGATGATTGCATTTCATTTTTCATTTTCCCTCTTCAATTCAGTAGTAGAAGATGTCATATGGAATATCTAGATAGGTAAGTAAAAGGCATAAGGATAACATTGATACATGTGTATAGTCTCTTATATTTTCCTGAAGATTTAATGCAATATTTTATTCTCTTACCTAAACACCATTAACACCAACAAACAATATCAAGGTATCAAAAACACACTGAAGGTTACAAAAAAAAAAAAAACAGTTCATGTGTCACTCCATGGACGTATACAACTTATTGGTCAGTCGAGTATGACTTCCGGTTTTTAAAAAAAACATTTTAAGGTACGAAGAACATGAAGAGATTTGCAAGGTTTTAGTTTTTATTGCCTCGTTTTCTTTTCATCAGATGTTGTTGAGGTGGCGAAGCGTTCGATGCATAAAAAATGAAGCATGCCTTTAACATTTAAGAGCACTTATATGATATCGATAAATCAACACATCAGGCAATAGTCGGTACTAAGGAAAAACGTGATGTGAATAAGTGTCAGAAAATAGTCTATAGGCCAAAACCACTGATTTAGATCGGAAACATCAACAACTCTGTAAAACAAGTGACCGTGAATGGTATAGTAACATCAAATACCTTTAAAAATCTTTTCCATGTCAGTACATATAGTTCAGACTATAATACATTATGTTTACAGGGTATGTAAAGCTAGAACACTAAGCGTGTACGTTGTTATACATGGTGAATCAATACGTTATTGGAGGAACCAGCGTGTTGGTAGACTTAAATAAAAGTCTACGGTACAAAGAGAAAAGTATCTTTTTGACCAATAACACTGTGAACTATTGAAATGGAAAATTATGGAAATAAAAAGCATACCAAATCAAGATAAAATATTGTATGAACGATACTTTTATATCATATGAATTGTTTTTGTTCACAGTGTCCTTATTTGAAAACTTGACATTACTTACTTTGGGTTACTAGGAATTACATGGCAGGTGTCGTTGATATAGCCGAGGACGCTCCCCTTTCGGAACACCTGGTCTTATTTTCCTTGTACGCCTTAATTTGCAATCATGTAAATTATACTTTTTGTCATACAATAGTTCGCTATGTTTTCATTGAGTTGCTGCCATGTTAGTATTTTCCTTGCTGTTCTAAAAACTACCAGAAACGTTACATTTAACAACAGTTCTAAAGGAACAATAGTCGTTTCATTTTATACCATGTTATGATAGTCAAGAGATCACTCGTGCTAAAAATGAGTCCTTCAAATTAAATCTAGAACAAAATTGAAATATCTTAAGAGAAATAAGATATGATGTTGTGGCACTCTGATTAAGTAGTTAAATATTTTATACTTGTATTTAATAAATATGCTAAGTAAATCCTGCACGGTAATAGTTTCTTTGTTAAATACTGTCCAAGGCAGTTGTACCGCGAAATCTGCCATATAACGAATGAGCTACTAGCAACTCGCTATCGCCAATCAAAAAGTAAAAGAGGAGGCGACACATTCCACGGTACAAGGCTGCGACCACAATTCCATGCTGTTCTATTTACAGTAATCATAGTTACATCTTAGCTGTTTGGCTAGTATCTGAATACTGATGTACTAAACGTTTCCATTGCACCTTTTAATGTGTTAATAAAGAGCTCATTTCCGAGTGTGGATAAGTGTATCCCATCCTCATGAAAAAATTGTTCCTCTAATTTCAAGTCTGGATAATGCACTACTGCTCCTCCACTTCGAATCATATATGTAGACACTTCACTGTTTAGCCTCTTTCTGATCTTTTCCAGCGCACATGAATTTCTGGCTCCTCTCCAGTTCTTTCTGGGGAGGATTAGGGACCAAACAAGTAGTGTGTGTGGAAAATGTTCTCTTAGGAAATGCATAAATGTTTTATATGTATCCTTAGCTGCCCTACACCAGTGTTGCCCACATCATTGCCACCACAATGAATAATATGGATTGCTGGTTGCTCGGCCTCAAACTTTTGTATATGTTTAACTTTTTTCTTTATATCACTTATGACCATACCACCCTTAAACTGCCACCAAACTGATAGTCCTAAGCGAGAGAGACCTAAGCTCACCCCTCCTGGAATATCGCGGATGTGGATAAAGGCATGCTTGATGATTGATGACCCTAGTATCCAGACTTGCTTGAAAGAACCTACAATTCTTAAAAACGCTTGTTAGCGTTGTACCATTAATTCCTCTGTTGGGATTATGATAATCCTTTGTAGGCTTTAGACTTCCACCGACCTAAATGCATGATATCGTCAGCCGATATATTATGTTGGGAGGCTGATGTTGCTGCCCCAATTCTAAATGAGTGAGATTTGTAATGTCTGCTTTCATAGCCAAGAACATTACATGCTTTGGTAATGACACTAGCAAACTGGTATCTAGTTAATGCCTTACCCCCAAAATAACATAACAGAAGACCTGAACAGTTTGGTATGGCAAGTAAGTAGTTACGGAGGTTACGGACTGGACAGTAATGGGTACCGTTACTGGTCAATAAAATAGTTGTTCCATACCATACTGATTCGTTTTGGAGGACGCCAGATGTGCTGTAGCACTATTTGCCTGTAGTGATACCTCTGATATTGTTACTACTCGGTAAGCCATATCCCTACTACTGATAGCTATTTCACCTACGCGGAAAAAACCCATAAAATGCTAAAGAGTATGCACAACTGAACAATGATAGCTCGTATTGGGAGCTACAAATATTGGGGAGTACGGATAATATCTCTGCCAACTTATCCACAGTGATAGGCATCCAAGCATATCTAACCCTATCATTATCTCTTCTGAGACTTTCTAATAATTTGTTTATTACAAAATGTTGAGTTGGATCATTGTACCCCGACATCTTACAATGGAAACCTAACCCAGCTAAATAAGTCTTAACTGTGGAATATGTATAGGCCTTCTGAGACATTTAACCTATATATCGCATATCATGTTGTATGGAAAGAGGCCAAGATACATCTAATTGATATTCCTCCTGAAACTGTCTTAAACTTCGCAAAGCCAACTCATATGCACCCCTAGTATTTGTAGCAACAGACAGCTTGATTAATCTGTCAACTTCACTGTCAATAGCCTTGAGAGGAACCCTTCTGGTATCACTGCTGGCTCCTGATTTGGCCAAGGTATTCTTATCTCTTGACAAGTTTCCTGAAAAACTGACATAAGCCTATCACATGTTTTTGTTCTTTCCCTTCCAGCAAATATAAAGTCATCAAGATTCAAATGAAGAATATTGAACGGAAACCATCTCAGGATCAATATTGCTATCAACGCTATCCCCTAAAGGCCATGAAAGGTGAGTTATGAGCCGCCACTCACCATCCTTCTTAGGTATTACCCCTATGGGAGAGCTACGCCACTGAGACATAGGTTTTTCATCAAAAGGACCTGCCACCCCACCTAATTCTACTTCCTGCATAATTTTTTATTTGTCTTGGATGGGTATAAAGATGCTGATTTTAATTGTTTTGATTCCCTAGGCAACCTCGAACAAAGGTAATGGAGTATAAAACCGGTTCTAAAATCCTGCAATAAAAGTCTGCCCACTCCCATGTTAGGGTATTTTGACACCCAGTAACTTAGGACTGGTATTTTAATTGAAGTTTTTCCCAGTGTCCAAATTTGGTTGCCCCCCTTGTTTTTGTTGTTTGTTTTGCCTAGCAGGGCCTTGGGTGACTGCTTTGGCACGAAAAGTATATGGGTTGTTATTGCCAACAGATGCCTTAAAGCAATTCATATTAGCATGAACCCCATTACACTTCAAACATTTATGTGTGAAAATGCAATGTAATCGTGTGCAATTGCCCTTGTAATTGAAATCGAAACATTTCTGTGGATTTTGATTGTATGATTGAGTCACTGGTTGTCTGTGTGGCTCCATATAAAGTAAATACAGTTCATTGTCAACATGACCCATGCTTCTTGTGGTTTTTGTGCTTTTCTAAGCCTGTACTGTTCATCGTATTTAAGCCATTCCATTCCGCCACATCTTCGAGCACCTAGCCGAACTGTTTGCAAGTATTTCAATAGACCATGCAAATGTTCTGGATGAACTGATGTATAGATGCTTATAAAGATAAAGCATCAGTCCACTTAGCGATATCTGTTATTTTTGCTGTTTGATTTTTTGGTTTGATAACTAGTTCCCCATCGGCTATGCATAATTTTTGAGAAGGCTAGTTTCCTCCATGGAACTAGTCAACAAAGAAGCCAAGTCTACATATTCACCATTAGTGATTTTTTGTTTAATGCTATGAGAAATGTGCAAGCCTAAATCCTCATGCACTCTTGCTATTGGATTCAGTATCATACCTGAAGTACTTGGACCAATCTTGTCTTGCTGAACAATTTCCTGGTCAATGCCATGTATTACCGGTGTCGGATTGGCTGGCTATGTGGCAGTATTAAGATTGGTCTGTGCCGATGTAGGCATCGTTTCCAGTGCTGTCACATCTGGCTCCGAGACTGTTGTCCCAGCAGGCTGGGACCCCGTCCCCAAACTGGTTCTTTTTCTAGCGGTGTACATTATCTAAACCGGAAGTAGCTCGTGGGTATTCCTATAAACATAGCCTGTTTCCAATGTTCTCAACTTCTGCTCCTCAGATTTCCAGGAACGATAACTCTCACCAACACTGCAGCAAGGCAGGCTTCAGGTTTCACGACACCAATTTTTTCCTGTGCCCTTTGATAGCGGCACTATATGGTTAACTGCCATAAGTGCTATTATTAACATATCGCTTCGTGTCGCTAGATCATGTGACCGTCACTTTCGGTTTGTAAGTATTTTGCATTGTGTGTACTCATGTGTGGTGTCATATGAGGTATTGTGTTCTTTTGTTGACCGGACAGACCACTCCGGACACATGCGCGTTGCCTATTTTCCTGTCCTTTCCCGCTTTTTTGGGTCTTTCCTTTCACTTGGGCACCAGAAATTTAAAGGGGTTGGGCGTTTGAAGTTTGAACCTACAGCAACTATATCTATTGTATCTATTCGAGATACAAGTACAGCCCCCAAAAGCCCCCCCCCCCCCCCTTCCGCCATGTGCTCGTATTGTATAGTCATGTTTTTGTCTTTTTAGAGATTTTTTCGTGCTCGAAATAAATTTGAAGCAGACATCCTCGAGTCAGTCGTTTTTCTCAAAAAGAACCATAATTTCAAATTGTGCTGTTCAAAAAATTGTATATCATTTACTCATTAAACCCAGGTCCCTTTTATTGAAGGACTTGTTTTACCGTCTGCAAGCTGCGATCTCCCCGTGGAATTGTATTATATCTTTTTAATGTTTTGTTTATGATGAATATTCTTCCATTCGTAAATCATTATCCATGGTACGTTGATGATATTGAAATATATGCAATTTAGCGACATCCAATCGATAAATGTATAGATGGCAAGTAATTACTATAGAAAATATTTCAAAGGATACTAGGACCCAATTACGGGATATAGCTCTCTCATAAAGATTTTCTAATTCAATTACAAGATGGTGATTGCATGTTCATCCAAATTGTTTAAAAAAACGACATTTTTAGTATCGTTCGACATTTATCGACATCAGTGTTTATCCTAAGCCTGATGGTAGTTATCACAAAACATTTTCCTTGTGACTGATATACTTGATCGCCACACATGATGATGTCTTTGACAGACAAGCTGATGATTATCTTTTTGAAATGTTTTCATAGTCGGTAAATTATCGGCGAATTTGATTGGTAATGAAATTTTCAGTTCAAAACTAGGCCTATAAACAAGCTATCTAAATCCAAATTGATTGAACTGTCTAAGAGAAAACTTGAACACAACGTAACATCCTTATCTTTTGTCATGAATATTCTATGGAATTTATCCAAGACATTGTATCAGGTATAACTGCACGGAACAATTTTGATTAGAAATGTGGTTTTATTAAAGTCACTTCATTGAAATTTTGACGATGTAAATAATTAAAATTTTCGAGTTTAATATATTAAAATTTATTTATTTATTACTTATTCTCATTTCTTTATACTTCAGTTTTTAACGGTTTCTCACTCTAGAAAATGCACCAGCAAATTAAATCATTGTGTCATATCGTATCGAATACGGATCGTATATCGACCTAGGGCCTCACTCTGTTTAACATTGTTAAAATTGTACAAAAGTCACGTAAAAATCTCCATCTAATCCAACGTTCACATGTTTGATCTTATTGGCTGTGATTATTGATCTTCGGTTTCATCTCTCGTGTTTTAATCATACATTGATCAGTAAAGACAAGATAACAAGGATCTCCTGAAAGTCCGGGATTGGTATTACAATGATTAAGGGCACGCTATCTTCAGTGTGTCATGTCAGTCTTGTACGTCCTTTAGATATGATAAACAAATGTGTCAATTCCACGGACAGATTAACCTCAGCGCGGACAATAGGACGAAGGACACACAGGTTCAGACTTGTCGACCTGCATTTTTTTATAAACAATATCTTGATGTTTGAACTTAGAAATGATATGAACATCAGATGCGACTAAACTTAAATTGGTGGTAAACTGAGGATATACACCAATTAAAAATACAATTTAAAAAAATCTGTTGAATTCATTCTATGATCTAGAATAGCTGTTTAATATTTATGTTTACAGCGTTTCATTTTTTTTCAAATATCACTTTCTTAGTTCACAACACTGTTTTAAATACGACTCTTGTGGTGTTTGTTCACCTGTAGTAGAAACATAATAGATATTTCCCAACAAATTATAAATGAATATATCTTTAACGACTGTGGTGTAAGCATTTGAATGGACAATATTTTAGCACGTACATAACAGTTTAATAGAGAACGCGAATCCTTGAATAAATGGGGAAAAAAATGGCGCGTGACTTTTATATCCAATGCTGACGAAATTGACATAGATCTTGACATTATGTTCGACGAAAAATATCTTAACTTTACGACCGACATAGACATCTTTGGGTCATTAGCAGTTCAACTGCTATATGGGGGAATCACTTCAATGCTGTATTTGAATCAGTTTTGAAAAAAAAAGTTAATGTGTTAGGAAAATTAAAATTTATATTGAAAAGAGATGCATTATTTATGATATATAAACTTTTGTCTATCTTAGAGTATGCATGTGAACTTTGGAATGGGTGTTCAGAAATTGGTTCTTTGAAATTGGAAAAATCACAAAGCGAAGCAGCGCGAATTATCACCGGTCTATCGTCGTATGTAAATGTTTCATCTGTATATCTAGAAACGGGCCTTGAGAAACTCCGAGAGGGGAAAAGGGAGACAACTGAACCTTATGTATAAAATGGATGATAAATTAATACCAGATTATTTCTACTCACTTCTACCTCCTAAAGACGGCGATACTAAAAACTTTGTTCTAAGAACCAACAGCAGTTATAGAATCCCACATTGCCGACTTTCTATTTCTAACTCTTTATACATTTCTCTCTTCAGTGGAATGACTTGGATGAACCAACTAGGTCTTCACCTTCCCTAGTAACTTCCAAAAGAAATTTGACTCGCGAATCCCAGAGAAAATACCCAGTATATTTCAACATTGGAGAAGACTGATATATTACACACTAAATTGAGACATCGATGTAGCCAATTAAATTGCGACTTGTTTCATCTCATCAATACTCAACGTTGTAGTCATTGAAATCGTTGTGAGAAGGTTTATCATTGATTTTTGAATGTGAAAACTATCTTAACTGTATAATAACATTATTTGATCAATTACGAAACGTAAATGTTGATATCAATTTAAATGAATCATTATATGGTAATGCACTGTATGCCGATGATATTAATACCAGTATTTTAAACACGTCATTATATCAAGACCTGTAAAATATTTCGGAATTAAATATGTATAAATAATTGTTAATTGTTTCGTTAGTTGTAATTACTTTTTTTCCTGAAACCCTTGTCGTTATTTAGATAATCAAATATGTTTAAAATAAACCGTGTAGCTCCTGAAATAGAGTTCCTTGGAATAAACACTAATATATCTGTTTTGTTTTCTGTAATTTAATTAACTAAACATATTCAGTTCTCATTTTCTACTATTATTGGGTCGTACTAGTTAATTTTCTTTTTAACGTGGACAGGTGTGAACTATTGCCATCTCTTTCATAGGCTAATTTTTCATCCTCTGATTCTATGGCCTATATAATTTTACACATTACTACAGTCAATATACAAAGAAATCATCTGCTTATGATAAAGACACCCCCCGGATTTGGTTTAAAACAAATAAAACTGCGAGAAGATCTAAAATTTGAAAATACATTTGAACAGAACAATTGATTATTACTATAGCAATTAAATTTGAAGATTAACAACTGAAAGCCATCGATCAAGGATTCGGATCGGAAGTGATCTACAACATCTATCGTTAACTATATCTCAAAGTAACCCAGTACACT